AGATGGGCCAACAATTGTTTGACCTACTATATACAACTTTATTTAGAATACAAGAAAATAATGAATCAATATAAAAAAAGAAAGTTAACATTGCGAAAGATAAACAGGAAAAATGACGTTTCATTTATGAATATTTGGTTGCAAAAGCAATTGATGTATATAAGCGTTATGCTCTCCTAATTTGCCATGAACATGATAAAATACTACGTTTTGAAATTCTTCTTCTGCTTCGCGAACATCTTCTAATGCTGAATAAATTTGTTTAATCCAGCCCGATTGATTTTCAGCAGTTAAGAATGCAAATTGTTCAAAACATCGATTTAGTAATAGACGTCCATCATTGCGATTAGAATTTATTGATAAGAACGACATTGTAGCTAGAAGACGTGCTCGAACAAAATGACAAGTACGTGTACGCACAGAAGTGCCAGCAATTCGAAAACGAGCTTCTCCATCCGAATCAATAGCTGTCGAAGATAAAATGGGTGCATTCAGTTGCTGAACTGAATTTGGATATAATAACAAATGCCATGCCAGAGCACCGAATGTAGAAAAATAAGTGACGTATACGGTAGGCACAGTAATTATAGGAATATTTGTAGTAGAAAAATGCATAAGATCACCATTTTCATTTGGTATACATCCACAATCATAATGCCATGACTTGCTGTTGATCCAAAACCGTATGTTCATCTTCAAGTGATAATTGCTCCAGGCACCATGTGAATAATGGTGTCCAATTATCTCTTTCACTTTTATCGTTTGCACATTCGTCAAATATTTTACTGATATGTGTATACGGTTGATGCAACTTAGGAAATGCAGAACAACTTGGAGCATTAGTTGATAAAGTAAACTACACATTGAAGCGTTCCCCATTTCTTCTTAACTTTTGAATGTTACTAAGCAGTTCAGATATTTTTGTTGACCACTCATTATGAATTGTGCGTAAAAAATTAGATTGTAAATAAACTTATAAGATAATTCCAATCATGTTTCCGTATAACTGTCGATAAAAACTGTTTCATAGTATGATCAAAAGCATTTTGTTGTTTTGAGATAGAAACATACACGCGCAAAAAACATCTGACCGAGTCAGACCATTCAGCAGAATTATCACCGTAATCATTTTCACAAAGTGAACAAGCTGTACATTCGATTATTAAGTATGTTTTAATTGATTTGTATATTGTTGCTATCATAGTATTATGAGGTCCGACATTGATCGTTGATGAAGTGGTATGGTTCATTAATAAATCAACAAAGTCACATTTAAAACTAAAATTATTTAAATGATTTCGAATGTGAAAGAAAAGTAAATTAATTAATGATTGTTCCTGTAATATATTGGTGTTAATATTACCGGATACAATTACAAATGGATGGGAGGGTGGTATATAAGAGAATCCAGCTGTACCCACTTCAACAAACAAATTTGAGACACAAATTTCCATAACTTCCAAAACCGTTGAGGTTCGTTTATGATTTGACTAGTTCGCTAACAAAGTAAACTTCCTTTCTACCTTGAGCCATGATCTCTCTTAAAACCTCTTCCTAACGTGCATTGAGATATTTCTATGATGAAAGTTAATTACATCATGTTCTCGAAGAAAAGTCCGAGTGAAACATGATGTAACCAAGGCTGCTAAAGGATTCCAGAAATTGGAAGGCGTCTGCGAAATTAAGTATAACTTTCTTATAGCCAGTGCTTTTTGCTCAAGTCTTCATTCATGCGCCAACTCAGGCGTTTTAATGAATCAGAGTCCCGTGTTTAAAGAAAATTAACTGATGAATCATTACCTTTCGTTTCTGGCGCCGTTCCCACGAGTGTGCGAGCGTTAGCTGAAAGCGCGTCGGAAACTCACTTTTATTTACGTTTTTGGGCTTATTCTATACGCTAGAGCATGCTGAATTCAATTTTAATTTATGCAGCTCAAAAATTGGGGTAGTTTCGCTAAATTTTATTATATATGACACACTTCGTCTTGCACAGTATACGTAGTGTAACCACTGGTTCTTATAGCGCCAATAAGAGCATAGGCCATAAGAATGAATTTCGCTATAAAGAGTCGAAAAAGTTCTAACAAAAATGGGTTTGACCAAAATTTCACGATCACCAGAGTATATAGCCTAGATCGTATGGGTAAAAGGAAATCGAATAAAAACGTCCGTCTCAGAAGTTGTTAAAACTCATATGATTTCCAAATTTATATGAATAATTACGTCTAAAACAGCTATTTTATGATCTTTCTCATAGTCAAACTAGATTGTAAATCACTCATACTATTCAGCTCCTTAGCGAATTATTCGATTTGTGCCTTATCTAATTCTGAGCTAACAAGATGTCGTCCGCATATCGTACTTGTTGAAAATTCAGTTTTTTAATAAAAAGTTATTAATTGCTATATCCGCGAGAAATGGTGAAATAGATGAACGCATGAGGAGTCCATAAATTTGTTTATAAAATTGACTACCAAACTGGAAGATGACATTCGCAACACTAAACTCAATTAAAGAACCTTAGAATTTCTTTTATTAGACTGGTCTCACTTTTCCACGATTCATCATAATGATATCGTCCCGTTTCGTCGACTAATTAATTCTTTTCCTGACTTGTCGACAACATTGGGGCGGGGTGGTGAAAGATGTCTGTGAGTCGTCGACACTGTAAAGTGTCGACGAAACGAGACTGAATCATCATAATCCAACTATTCATCTAGAGTGAAGTCTTTCTGAAATATTCCCACATGGGTGAATAGTAGAAATACTTGGCCGATACAATGATTTTGACCTATCTCAGTGCTTTCAACACTCCGTTAGTCGTTTTTCTGCCATAATGAAAATTATGTATTGTTCGAAAACATACCACTGGATAGCCCTTGAAATTCTCTACAAAGTGAGCCGGTCACAATATCCAGACAGGTCGGACTAACCATACAAGATATGGAAAAGAAGCTTTTGGGTGTTATCTACGCTGTACAGTATGTCATAATCACAAGAACTCTCTTGTTTTTGACCTTTTAGTAAAACCTGGAACCAATCTGAATAATGTTTTGAATAGCCCGAAGAATTTTCTATCAGATTAGGTGCATATCGGCCTTTCATGAGAAAAGTTGGTAATAGAGCTTCTGGAAAACCTGACCGCTGAAAAACTAAGTCCTTAGCTTTTAGTG